GAGAAAGGGGGAGGGTGGGCTTTGAAGCCCCTCCAAACCATACAGATATCAAGAAGTAAACAAGCTAGAGTCACTCAGAAAACTGCATGGAAAAGCTCTTGTCAAACTTCATCAGCTAGGTGTATATGAACAATGGAGAAAAGAAAGTAGTATTAGTCTCACTCCTCGGAGAAAAACTAGGAGAATGGAGATACCGTTGGGTAGGGCAACATGCCTCCATCAAACAACAGCAAAACCAAACACTTCTACTATTGTTTCGACAAAGGCATGTTGCCGAAATATCAACCCAACTATATCTCCATTCTCCTGGTGTTTCTCCGAGGAATAAGGCTAATATTGCTATCTTATCTATGTGAATTATGTTCATCGCTAATGCACTGAACAACTTACGGAACAATGAGGAGTGTGGCATTTTACAGGTCAAAGGTCAAAGGGCCAAAACCATCATTTTATAAACGACTTCTGTAATCTCAAAACCTAAGTATGCTGCGACAACACGGAAGACGGCGATGCATAGCTTATGAAAAACTCTATGAGGTAAGCACCAATGGACATCAACACATATGACCTGTGATATGCCAGGAGTTGTTGCGTTTGTCCGTCCGGCTATATTACGACGTAAATAAACACAACGATGGGGAAAACAGGGTTAAAAAGCCTTCCAAAGTCGTATTATGCGTGCCGTTTAAGTTTCATTATACGGTCTTCAAATACAGACTGTAAAATTCGTCATACGAACAGTCAAATTGCGTTATAGAAGTTCATCATACGAACGATCAGATCTGGTCACAACGGTTAGAGTTTAACCTATCTTGATCTTGGATGACCTTACATTACCAAAGTTAAAGAATGGTAGTAATGCATTTCAGGGTGATGTAGATGAAATCTGTGAAGCCTCTTTGGAATGCATTTCCTGTCAGAAATGACTGTTGTCTGTCACTTTTGGGCAAACTGGTACCTACACGTCCTCTTTCACGAGAATGAAGCCATATATCATGCACAATCGACAATTTTAACCACACGTGCAAAACTGACTTAAACTCGAATACTCCAAACTTGTGTCACCTACTCCAGACAAACAAATACTCCTGACAAGCGCCGGCTCCGTTCCGAATTATATCGAAAAACCTTAGGGAGGCCACTGAGCCCCTCCCCGTCGAAAATCGTAATCCCCTCCATCGTGGATTTCTGCTCGAGTGGGTGCATTTCACATGCAGTGGTACTTCGCAGCGCAAGTGATATGTGGATGCGAAAAAACATCCAGCAGGCCAGCTGAATGCCATCGCTGGAAAGACGCGAGAGCCACGGCTGAGAAAATGTGACGTGTTATACAATACCCTGTTAATGACGTCATGAGTCACGTTGATGGCATTCGTCTGGTAATGTATTCAAAACACCGAAGAAATATGGCGTGATAATGATCCGAACTGCCATTGCGCCAGGGTCCTTGAGTGCTAATATGGCCTCCGCAGTCGCTGGCACTTCTTAGAAGGGTGCGTGGCGAGATGAGTCACGTCTTCTTCTCTCCTAAAGCTGACAAAATGCCTGATGCGTTCTTTTTCTTACCCGCCGCTTATTCCTTACGCCCTGCAAAGGCACATCTCACCAGGAGGATGCTGTGGTTTTAAGCCATGAGTTGGTCTTACAAATTGGCGGGGTCCTGCCCGAACACCCGCACAGAACCCCGAGTTGGGATGCCTGTGCTGAGTGAGTCTCGGCAGCAGCGACAACCCAGAATGGCCGCAGCAATACCGCACCGTTTACCGCTCTCCTTAATTAAATCCCGCGACTTTGAAATGGTCGGTCATGGCCGAGACAGATCTGAACTAGCCAAACAGATGCGGGATCTGGACTGAGCGCGCACAGCAGATTAAAGCGTCCCATCACTGGAGGAGAGAGGACGCCATTAACACGTGCCCGGGTGGCCGGCTAGATACCCTTCGCTCGGGTGAGGGTCAGTTTGATCCCCCTGACATCTCGTGAACCAAGAAAGCTAGAGACACCAAATTTATAGCGTGTGTTGACCTGTACCTGAACTCACTTAAGGCAAAGTTTCAGGTTCCTGGATCGTGATCTTTGGGTCAAACAAAGTCATAAAGTTCAAATTCCAGGTTGGATTCCAGAACCTAGATAACTGTTGCTAAGCAAAAGGTCACATGCTCCTTTAATGTAAGTGACCTTTTTTGCCCTTTGGAAGATCATGGTGACTTTCTCACAAAAGATCATAAAAGTAATCATAAAAGACTTCTCTGAGTTTTCCATTCAAATAAGCGACAAAGATTACGCTAGGCAGTATGCTCCTGAGAACAAAATGTCGACCTGAGTCATCCTAGGTCAATGACCTTTTTTGACCTTTTACAAGTGAATGGAAGATGAAGAATGTTGTCTCTGCTATCAATAAATTCGAAATGAGTACCAGAGACTATCCCGTACAGCGGTTCTAGAGTAATAAAACAGACTCGTTATGGTCGTGGTCTGACATTCCTTTCTGACCTTCGGTCAACATAATTTGTTCATTCAGTAATTGTGTTGCCTAAGAAAGTATCTCAGAGGTGTATGGCTTTGTCTAATTCTCCGTTGTTGCATCAGATTGAACGATTGCCTAGAAATGGACTTTGCTGAGACCATAGCCTGACTTTGACCTGCCATAGGTCAGCAACCTTACAAGATAAATTCAATGATTTGTGTCAAACGGTCCGTTATTCAATTCTCTACAGCTATGCAAAATTTGGCGCGGCTATGCCATGCCGTTCGAAAACCATTTGGGAAAGGCATCTGGTGGTCAATTTGACCCCTACCCGAGCCCGTGTTAAGCAATAAGCGCTCAACCAGGTAATGGTTTGATACCGGTCTTAACTTAGCCACCGCGAATCCCTATACGACTCACGTCTCATTCCCATCCACCTCTTCATATTGAGCGGTGGTCAAAAGTGCTTTTACGCGCGCTGGGTCGGGCGCGATCAATTTAATACCTGTCCCGAAGGTTTTTTTCCGGAATACATTCCGAACGACACGGCGTAGCCACGCCAAATATTACACAGCTATAGACAATTAATCAGAGGTTCGTTTGTCACCCCAAATTTAGATGTCCCTTGCAAGATCGCTGACGCACGGATGTTAAAGCCAGACCATGAATTCAGCGAAGGCAATTTCTATTGAATCGTTCAACCTGATGCAATAACGAAATGTTAGACGAGGCCATGCGTCTCTGAGATAGTGTCTTAGGCAACGCTCAAATTGAAAGAACAAATCCTATTGACCTAGGGTCGGATATGAAGGTCACACCAAGGTCAAAACCAGCCTGTTACATTACTCTAGAGCTTGTTGTGTGGAGTAGTTTCTGGCGCTCATTTAGAATTTATTGATGAGACGAACCGTATTCTACATTTTTATTGGATCAGAATAGATCACTGACCTAAGATTACTCAGGTCAACATTTTGTTTTGAGGAATAAACTCCATAGCGCAATCTTTCGCGCTCATGCAAATGCAAAACTCGAAACTGTCTCGTGTGCTTTTGGTAACAATAACCCTCAAAAGGTAAAAAGGTCGGCGACCTTTTGAGCAGCAACGACCTTTTGCTTAGAACAGATATCTAGGTCATGGGGGCACTTTGGACCCCAGCCCGGAGTCTGGCCCTGTTTCACCTTATTTGACCAGAAGGTAATGTTCTGGGAACCTTAAATTTTAACACACATAAGTTCATCTGCAGGTAAATGCAGCCTGAAAATTTGGTGTCTCTAGCTTTCTTGATTTCTGAGATCTCAGGGTGAATTCAAATTGTCCCCCACCCACCCCCAACCGAGCGTGGAGGGCATTCAACCGGCCAGCCGGTCGCGTGTTAAACCAGCCAAACGTTGCTAGCAAATTCCATAAACTCGTCCCTTGAGGCCTGCGGAGCGCCATCGGGCTCAATATATCCTCTGTAGCCCTTTGCGCACGCAGGATCCCGCTGGCCGTGCGGAGTATATTCAGTATAATCTCAGCGCTGGGGTTCACAGGGTACCACTGAATGTACTCAGCACGCTCTATAAACCCACCGCCTTTAATTCCACAGCACCTATGACACGGACGAAGACCGACAGATCATATTAAATCCCACCACTTGGGTCTACACGGCGTCTCTTGCTCAGCAGACTACGAAGCTGCAATTTTCAACAGATCATGTGTAATCTAGCGCATGCGTGGCTTTTTGTACTCCATAACTAAGATAGCCACAGCCATACTAACTAGCCATAACCACGCACTGGAGCTAACAGAGTCCCACTGACTGTGCTCAACACATTTTCGAATCCTACCACTTGGGTTGCAACTGACCGACTTTGCCAGTTAGTTATGGAAGTTGGGATATCCCCGCTAGGGCGTCGAGAGGTCGTCGCTGGGCGTAGTAACAAGATCAATGAAGCCTACTGCCTTAGTTTACGAGACGCCACCCCGTGCGCAGTCGGTGCAAGAACCAGTATCGACCTAGCTGCCAGATTAAGCATAAGAGACCGCATGAAACTGGAAGCATCACTGAGCCGTCATCTCTGGCGCCGCATCACAAACACGCATTTGATTTATTCTTTCGATATCCCTCACGTTCTATCGTCGTGCACTCAAAGAGACTGTGTAAGATGTACAGCTGCTGAACGGCATGAGCGAAAGAAGATCATGGTGACTTTTCACCATGCGTATTTGTCGGGCTGCCTGTTTCTCAGTGAAATTCAACCAATCTTACCACCATTAAGCATAGAAAGTTTCCAGCGATCAAGTGGAAGAGTCATGGCTACTCATGGATGTTTTAAATGAGTAGTGGAACAGCGAACGAACGCTTTCAGACGCAACGGAGGCTACAGCGTGCGTCAAACCAGCACCCTGCGATCGCTGAATCTCTGCGCGACATCACCAGACACCACCTATGACCCAGACGCCCACTCACCGTCCCCCCCCCCCCCCTCCGGCCAGTCCGTAGGAGGCCTCGGCGGTCGCTCGGACTCGGCGGCCGCGGCCTGTACTCACCGGGTGCCTCGGGCGCCTCCCCGGCCAGTCGGTCGCGAACCCACGAGAGGAGCCCCGTGGTGCGCGCCCGTGCAGCCTCAGCCGGCCGAAGGTCAGGTGACACGCGCGGCGGGCGCAGCAACAGTGTGCGGGTATCGATCAGCGCGGCGCCGCGTCGACTGCGGCTCGCCGGAGCGGAGCGGCCGACGGGCCCAGCGTCGCGTCGGCGCCGACGCCACCACAGGTGTCGGCACCGACGGGAGCCAGGCCGGCTGGCGCGCCGTCGTGGGGGACGCGCCAGCGGGGTCTGTTGTGGGTACGCGCACTCGGGTTTACGGGTTGTTGTGAGTAGGCGCACTTGGCTTTTACGGGTTGTTTTAGTACGGGGGTGTTGTATTTGCTGGGCGGATGCGCGGATCCTTTGCTCTGCCACCCGGTCTTTCTAGAGTCGGGGATGAGAGTAGTGGAGGATATAGCAGAAGAAACCGCGGGAAGAAATATGCCTCTTTTGCACCTGCTTCCCATTCACGACGAAACTGTGATCCGAAGTGATCATGTTGTGTGATCCAAAGCGACCAACACTTCTGGTGATATGTAATTGACTGAAAGGAAAGGCTCTTATCCGGACACTGTTTGTAAACCCGGAGACACGTGACTTTTGTGTCGTGAAGAACAGTGGTTTGCAGTCCAGATCAGATAACTTTAAGTCGGGCGTGCGAAACTACACAGTTAAATTTATATCTCAAAGAGGGCGCTACATCCCTTTAAGAGACATAAATGCCTGATGGCACAAGGAGCATGATTCTGTGGAAAACATTCTGATTTTTTTTTGTATTCGAATTAACTTAGTCCAAACATCAAAGACCTCAGGAACATTCCTTGAGTCCCTGGGTCATCTTTTGAATCGAAATTGCGCCCGGACTGTGGCCTGGATTGGTAAATCAGCTGTAGCTAGTCCATGAAGTATTTCAGGCGTGTTCTACTGGTTTCATGACCAAAATATTGCTTAGCAAGTTAATGCATACACATGGGATAAAACTACGAGGTCAACTGGAAACAGGGTTACTTTCTTTACTTCATACTGCAGTAGCCATTTTGCACCAAACGTCAGGAGGGAAATAACGCTGCAATGAATGATTGTTAGGCCTGTAATAAAATGTTATCGCCCTCCCCATCTTTATCATTCACACATTCAGCACATGGGTTTTGTTCTCCACAAAGTCTTCACTCCTCTCGAGACATTAAGTTGCCCATCGTGCACACGATTGTTAATTTATTTCTTGTATTTCCCATTTTGAAACATTTTCCCGACAAAGTAATTTTAGAACCTTTAGATACCCATTCTATTGCTTCAGTAGTTAGACTAATGAATCCATTGCATCTCGATAAGTCCCTGCAAAAAAGGTGTCCACGCCAGCTAAGCCTAACACTTTTTTAGCTCATTTTTGGTAATAAGTTGCCACTTATGTTGAAACCCATAGCTGCGAAAAGATACTGGTGAAGCATTAAAGCTCGTACGATACTAGCCGTATCAGAAAAATCACATCCGAATTCAAAATATACAACTTTTCACACTGCCAATCGTTGTGACGTTCCATGACAGACAGAGGTGTGTGGGCTTTCGTGTTAGCATGCAGCATAGTTTTTTTTAAAAATTCTACCAGCTGACCAAGTTCCTTTTCAGAAATTCGGAAGGAATTAAAGCAGTTTGTCTAGGATGTTACCGACATTTTATCTCCGCTTATATGATGATGAGTTTCAATCACGTTCAAAACGAAAATAAAATGTATGAAGCTGCGGCTACCGCTGATTCCAATGATGACACTCACGATCAATCGTTTTATCCCTGAGGCGTGTCTGTGAACACATACAGACGGCATCCGTTATGTTGCAAATGATTAAAACGACAGCTGAAAATAGCTCTTGCTGCGGCTTCAGTGACACTTGAAGGCGTCCCAAAGCCCGCTGGCCCCTTCGCCCAACGTCACCAGACTGGTGACCTTCGTGACCCCGTGGCGGCACGTCACGCGGCGTCGGCCGTCGGCGCCGGCCGCGGACGGATGGCTGCCCCTGCCTAATCGCTCACCGCGTCCGGCGCAGAGTAATCGACCGGAGCGGCCTGTTTACCGGGCGGCATCTCCTGGTTACGCGGCGGCGGCGGCAGTGGCGGTGGCGTGGCGCCGGCGCCGGCTGGCCATTACACGACAAGTGAGCACGAACCGCCGCGCGCCAGGGAGGCGAGCTGACCGCGCGGGCGCCGCCGTCCATCGACCGGTCACCGGTAGGCTGTCGATCGGCCACGCGGTGGGGGAGCCGGCCACCTCCTCTGATCCTGTCCGGCACCTGTGGACTAGTCACGCGGCGCGGGAGCCGGCCACCTCTTCTGATCCTGCCTGGCACCTGCGGGCTTGTCACGCGGCGCGGGAGCCGGCCACCTCTTCTGATCCTGCCTGGCACCTGCGGGCTTGTCACGCGGCGCGGGAGCCGGCCACCTCTTCTGATCCTGTCCGGCACCTGTGGGCTTGTCACGCGGCGCGGGAGCCGGCCACCTCTTCTGATCCTGCCTGGCACATGCGGGCTTGTCACGCGGCGCGGGAGCCGGCCACCTCTTCTGATCCTGTCCGGCACCTGTGGGCTTGTCACGCAGCGCGGGAGCCGGCCGCCTCTTCTGATCCTGTCCGGCACCTGTGGCTTGTTACGCGGCGCGGGAGCCGGCCGCCTCTTCTGATCCTGCCCTGGCACCTGTGGCTGGTCACGCGGCCCCGACCCCGATGCTGCTTCGATGTCATTTGTCAGTAAACTTGTGCTTGATCCTGGTTCTACGAAATCAATTCCATTTTCGACCCATGGCTCCTGGGTTTATGCCGACTTTGACTCCGAACAACGGCACAGGAGAAGCCGGGATCGACTTCGATCCTGACTGGATAAAAATGTTTTAATTTCATAATCGATTTTGAAGAAGGTGATTCCGGTGGCAGCTGTTTTGAACACATGCTCTATTGGCTGCATGAAAGCGTTATGATGTTTATGTTAATATCGAAACAGGTATTACGTCTGCGTTCCATTTCGTCCTCATATAAGCTTTCATCCTTTTTACGCTTCCTTTTGCAGTCATTGCCTCGATGTCGATTCAATGATGCTTCGACTGATCTGAACCTGGCGCATCAGCTCACCAAAAATGATAAGCCAATCCTTTCCACACCGACTGAACGAAAGCGCGATTGATTCCGGGATTGAGTCCGATTCCTCCCGGCGCCGAGCAGAAGTCTGTCCCTGCGCCGGTAGTGCAGCCCGGCCACGGTCCGGCTTCCGCCGCCAGCTGATTGGCGGTCCGCCATCAGCCGGCCCCGAGGCGGCCATATTTCAGCATGTTAACTGCTGGAACATGTTAGAACGTAGACCATGTCAACATGTTAACTGCGTTAGCTAACCTAGTTAATATAAAGGAGAATGTCTCCCTGGTCGCCCGAAATGCCTTCCCAGTTGTGAAATTTGGCTACCCGGTCCAGGCGATCCTGAGAAGCATGAATGAATAACTTCAGGAGACTGGGCATTCTGGCTCCGGAATGGTATAGATGGTATGAGTGGACAATGGTACACCAGTAGAGAGAAACCGTTCGTTTTTTATAGGGCTTCGTTCGCTTTTATAACTTCTGTGGTCAGATGTCCACCAGGAAAGTACCAGGAGTACAGGAACAGTGTTGTACACTAGGAGAAAGATATGATGGTGTATAGGGCCAGATAGGGGCAAAAATGTTCCACGTATCATGAGCAGGCAAAATTGTCCACCGCCCCGTTGCTGACCGTCGGGCTTATCTCTCCCGTCAAAGTTCCTTGGGTTATTATGTGTGCAGGGGTGCCGATGCCTAAAACCACTCTACAGTTGGCGCCTCCGCCTACTCGGCGCGAGCTCGCCTACCTTTTGGCTATGCGTTCGCACAAAACGCCTTGGCCCGTTGGCAGAATATCGCTTTGTCTGGTTGGTTATGTTTAATTTCAGCATGGTGGTGTTTCGAGGTTTAACGAGTGTATCGGCTACGAGGCCATTTCGCGCTCGCATCCACTGCTTGCTGCGCGTTATGCTGCTAACTAGGTAAGCATATGACATGCAGACCGGTAGTTCCCAGAAATTTTAGCACTTGATGTGGTCCTAGTTCAAGATGCAGAATTTCTTCTTCTCGGCAGACAGCTGCCAACAGTTGACCAAGAAATAGCTGACAGCATTTCCCCGCATCTTGCGCATGAGGGAAATCATTGAGCGTTGTTTGATTGAAGTTTGTGCGTGACGTAAGTATGGTCAATGCGCAGGCGTTTTAGTGTTACCTCTCCTTTACGCGATTTTAGAAATAATGATGCCCAGACACCTATAGATGGTTTGATAGTTTCCAGCTTTTTCAAAGGGCGTTCTTTGCTTCACCTGGCATGCTATTGGCAGCCATATACTCATTCGCTTTTAAAGGGAATATTTTGCATTTTAAGATATTGAAGCATCAGATATGATGATACAAGCTCACTTGTATACTATTGGTATGCTTTTTAAGTAGAAAAGTCTGCTGCAGACAGCATAATTATCTGTCCAATAGACATGCTCCTCAATGCGCCATGGTTTGATCACGTCACGTCATCATTACGCCATCGCACCGTGCACACATTGACTGAGGGCCAATTGGCTGCCGTTATATCTGAAAATCGGGCCTACGAACGCTGGATAGAGACGTCACGACAATTATTTTTTTGTTGGCCTTGTTTGCCGCATGGCTTATGGAATGGCAGGATTTAAATGGCGTTATTATGATGCCATGAACGCCAAGGTGACTTTGAAATGCTCTTCTCGAAATACACTCACCACTTCCGTGGGCGTGTAGCTCAGAAACCAGAGGGGCTTAGGTCTTCATAAGGGCAGGATCGCTAACAGTACCGAAAGGTCTCAGAATAGCTATTTCAGTTCAAAACCCCATGTAGATGTGGAGCACTCCCTGCCAGTACGGTCGTTTGAGGGGATTCGCAGCAAACTGTTAGCTGCAAGAAGCGTGACAGACTTGGCCGCCTGGTCTGCCGGCTCGTTGCCAGCCTGTCCCACGTGGCTCGGGAACCAGGCCAGCATTATGCGGCTTCATTTTCTCTCGACGCAGCGAGTTTTCTTGCAATCAGCAGTGCTAGATATGTGTCAGATGTATGT